AAACTGGCATACTTGGTCTTTCCAATTCAGCATGAGGCTGACTTGAGCTCGATCATCTTTACCCATTCTAATCCTTACCTCCCATAAATTATTTCAGAGCCAAAAAGTAAAACAGACATTCTTGGTCTTCCCAACTCAGCATGAGGCTGACTTGAGCTTGACCATCTTTACCCATTTTCATCCTTACCTCGCATAAAGACTTACAAAGCCAAAAAGTAAAATAGGCATACTCAACAGACCTTTTAACTCTATTTCAATACAGTCAACATAAAAGGAATAAACATCCATAGCAGAAACATAAGTTCTTTGTTTGCTTCTTCTATCTTTGTTTACATATTGAATACATACCTTCACCTAAAAAATACACACAAAACACACAACTTTTGTTAACATCCACAAATAGTCAGTTCACACTGAACCAGTTGTATTCATACAGCTATGCACATTGTTCCATTCACCCATGTCAATATTAGGTGGTATGTGTTGATTGGGCCAGGCTTCTAACCTTAGCCCTATAATACCTACATAGTCAGTGTCACACTGACATATGAATCATTTCACCCCAAGCAAGACAATCAAGCCACTAATATGTAAGTGGTTTCTTTCTTTTTAAGTGCCATGTCCTTTCAGGACGTCGGTGATCATGGCTCTCCACCTCCTTCTATCCCTTGCAGTATTCAACAAGTTCCTTCCTTCTGCTTCCTCCCCCAGACCACGTTCTGTCACCCACCTGCTCAAGCTCATCAGGTATGTCACACACTGATTTCCCTTGTCTCTCTTCCCCTCTATTCGACCCGTGAGTATCAGATTCTCCAGGCCCTCCTTCCTCATTATGTGTCCCAGAAACTTCAGCTGCCTCGTTCTGATGTTAAGTATAAGCCTTCTCCTTGTTTGCAACCTCTCTAAGACCTCATCATGGCTCACGAGTGAAAAAGAAAATATTATTAAGGAGAATTACCGAAATGAGGTGGAACATCCTTCCATGGAGAGTGTAGAATTGTGGTATTTTTAATTGTTGAAGGGAACATATTCATGCCGATACGAGGTCTGATCAAAAGAAATCAGGACTGGTACTATAAAAAGTAAACTGCAACACATATCAATTCGGCATTTAAGCCTTCCAAGTCGTTTCCCTCTGAAGCCAAACACTTTATCCAGCATTGATAGAAGCATTCCTGGAACTCCTTTTTTGGGATAGTGAGTAACTGCCTCATCACATTCTCTTGGATTTCCTCGACGTCTTTAAATCTTGTTCCTTTCAAATGGGATTTGATTTTTGAAGAAGAAAAATCGCAAGGGGCAATATCTAGGGAATGCTGTGCTTGGCCAAAATCTGCTGCACAGACAATGATCATTATGGAACATCTGGTGTGTTGAGATGACCCCACTCTACACACTTTCCTTCAAAGCAATACTATAAAGAACAGAAATGAGCGAGAACACTATAACTTAATGTGACAGAGTTTAAGGTCAGTCTTTGCCAAGGGGCTTTACTCCGCATACTTTAGCTCCTTTAACATAGGAACAGTTTCGATTCTCTTTGATCTCCTTTGAAGTAATCCCCTTCTGAAGCCATGCACTTTATCCAGCATCGTTGTCATTGATAGAAACGTTGTAGAGTAGGCGGAAGTGAACAACATCAAATCAAAGGTGAAAATGACAAAATTAAACACACCGTACAAGGGCTCCGTGCAGACTTCCGGGTTTCAAACATAATTCAAATTTTCAATTTAACAAAAATAAATAGCCAATAAAATCAGCTCCCACAAGTAAATAAACACAGGATTCTGTGGCCTACACAAGACCAAAAAAGCCAAAAATTCATTCATCTCGGCAGACGGACTGACAGCAGTAAAGAGACACGAGTCAACCTCGGCGTCTTGTCTTTCTTGCCAGAGCAACAGCGGACTCATTTCGATCTTGTCTCCTAACTCCATTTTCTCGCTTCCTCACTGAAAGACTATTCATGTTCATTTCCTTACAGTCAAGGAGAAGAATTTTCTAACTTTCATTTCATGATAAGTAATTACGGCTAAAATTTGTGTATCCTACGTTTAAATAAATATCATTTTATTTGAACACGCAACAATCTGTTTTATATTCAAACAGCAACCCAAGGTTTCCCCAACAGCATTCCTGGAACCGTTTTTTTGTGATAGCAAACACCTGCCTCATCACATTCTCCAAAGAGGTCCTAACTGGTCTTGTCGATTGCATCACATGACTAATCATCTTGCGCCTCCACACTGTAATTCTGTCTTGCAGATCAGCTCAGCCAAATCTCCCCATTACTTTTTTTTTTTGCTTATTATATATAGTTATTTCATCTATGGAACACTGGGCTCCATTTAACTCCCCACCCGAGACTTGCAAATATTGGGATTTTTAGTGAGAATTTGGATTCACAAACGTTCCCCAGGCGCATGTATACGCCATTTCAGAATAGAGTGATTCGGTTTGAATTTTCCTTCGTCTAGACTAGTTGCCACCCAAGTCTGTCCTGGTACTTTAACTTTTAACCAGGAGAGGAAGAGATAGCTTCATACATATAGCATGTAAGTGAATGCAATGAAATCGAGTGGAATTCGAACTCGGCTTTCAAATTCCTCAACCCAACCCTCTAGCCATTACTCTACAATGCCTACGTGTTAATGCGCCTGCTAGCGATAAATCTGGTGGGCCAAGTTGAGAATTGATTTGCATATTGGACAATTTTCATGACATGTACAGATGTTGCCTGATCAAGTTCTTGCATTGTCATTAAAAGTAGACTGTATGGTAAAATAATACACGAGAATCGTTCTCTGGAAATATGCGTCATGTTATTTTAGGCCGTTGTTGATCAGGGCTGCCACTTTTAGTGCTATGCAACATTTAACAGTTTACAATTATGTGTCACTTTCTGTTTTTAAGTGTTAGTCTTCCTTTTTGATTTTAAGTCGAAGTGTCCCTTTCTGACTTTAAGTTTAAGGATCCGTTTCTGATTTTAAGTGTAAGTGTCCCTTTTTGATTTTAGGTGTAAGTGTCCCTTTCTGATTTAAGGTGTAAGTGTCCTTTTGGATTTTAAGTGTAATTGTCCCTTTCTGATTTTAGGTGTAAGTGTCCCCATCTGATTTTAAGTGTAAGTGTCCTTTTTGATTTTAAGTTTAATTGTCCCTTTCTGATTTTAATTGTTAGTATTCCTTTTTGATTATAAGTCTAAGTGTCCCATTCTGATTTAAATGTAAGTGTCCCTTTCTGATTTTAATGTAAGTCTTCTTTTTGTCCTCATAATCTTTAAATCTATTGTATTCTAACCATCCATCTATAGAAACATATCACATTCGCTGGGTGTCACATTTTTATCGGTATAGAAATTGTCCAGCATTCGCTTCCATAGTGGACATTATTTTAAAAATAACACTTTACACCTATTTTCCTAGTTTACGACGAAAATTTCCCAGTAATTTTATTTGTTACTCAAGGGCATCACTTTTTTACTCTCAATTTTAGTCTTAAAAGCCTTATTTATTTTTTAATTTTTATCTGGGTTGTTTGCACTGTGACATAGGAAATTTGCAATAATGAAAACAACAAAAAAAATAATTTTCAATGCTTCATCTAAAAATTTGAATCCTATTAATACTACTAAATAAAGCATATTTATAATAGAAAAATAAAGAATAAACAATAAAAAGCAAAAAATAATTTTTCCAAAATGAATAATAATTGACAATTTCATCTAAGAAATTTGAATCCTATTAATACTACTAGTAATAAAGCATATTTAAGTAAGCAGGGCAGATGAGAAATAAAGAATAAGCCTTGAATAAAAAGCAAGAGGAATAAGATGAAAGAAATACTAGTCGAAAATGAATAATAATTGACAATACTTCATCTAAAAATTTGAATCCTATTAATACTACTAGTAATAAAAGCATATTTAAGTAAGCAGGGCAGATGAGAAATAAAGAATAAGCCTTGAATAAAAAGCAAGAGGAATAAGATGAAAAGAAATACTAGTCCAAAATGAATAATAATTGACAATGCTTCATCTAAAAATTTGAATCTAATAATACTACTAATAATAAAGCATAAAAAGCAAGATGAGAAATAAAGAATAAAGCCTGAATAAAAAAGCAAGAGAAATAAGATGAAAGAAATACTAGTACAAAATGAATAATAATTGAAAATGCTTCCTCTAAAAAAATCGAATCCTATTAATACTACTAGTAATAAAGCATATTTAAGTAAGCAGGGCAGATGAGAAATAAAGAATAAGCCTTGAATAAAAAGCAAGAGAAATAAGATGAAAGAAATACTAGTACAAAATGAATAATAATTGAAAATGCTTCATCTAAGAAATTTGAATCTTATTAATACTACTAGTAATAAAGCATATTTAAGTAAGCAGGGCAGATGAGAAATAAAGAATAAGCCTTGAATAAAAAGCAAGAGAAATAAGATGAAAGAAATACTAGTCCAAAATGAATAATAATTGACAATACTTCATCTAAGAAATTTGAATCTTATTAATACTACTAGTAATAAAGCATATTTAAGTAAGCAGGGTAGATGAGAAATAAAGAATAAGCCTCGAATAAAAAGCAAGAGAAATAAGATGAAAGAAATACTAGTCCAAAATGAATAATAAGTTTTCTTTTTTCATAAATTTCACACTGCTCTAAGTAGAAAGTGTTGCATTTGCAGAAGACAGTACCTCATAACGAATTCAAGTCTGTCTTATATTTGTCAGAATGGAAATGATTGGAAGGAATTTTCTCTTTATCTTTGAGTTTCATAATTTTCTTTCTGCATTTCAATTGTATTTGAATTAAAATATTCTGCAAAAACAAAAAAGTACATTTGATTAATTTGTTGTGAAAGGGAAATTCAGTGGTGTGGAATAAATGCAGTAAAGCATGAATTTTTTTTTTTTTTATAGTTTTGTTTAGTGATTATTGTCAAAGTTTTTAGCGGGGAATGTGAGAGGCAACTCATGAAATATAAGAATGATATTATTAGAGATGCAGGAAATGTAAAGAAAGAAAGAAAGAAAGAAAGAAAGAAAGAAAGAAAGAAAGAAAGAAAGAAACGAACAAACAAATAAACAAAATATAAAAGATTGAAGGAAAAGGTCCAAAAAAAATGAAAAAAGAAAAAAAGAAAGAAAGGAAGAAATGAGCAAAAAATATAAAGGAAAGACGAACGAAAAGATCCAAAGAAAGAAAGAAAGAAAGAAAGAAATGACGAAAGAAAGAAATAAAGAAAGAATGGAAAAAAAGAAAGAAACGAACAAAAATATAAAGGAAAGACGAAAGAAAAAATCCAAAGAAAGAAAGAAAGAAAGAGAGAGAAAGAGAAAGAAAGAAATGAAGAAAGAATGAAAAAAAAGAAAGAAACGAACAAAAATATAAAGGAAAGACGAAAGAAAAAATCCAAAGAAAGAAAGAAAGAAAGAGAGAGAAAGAGAAAGAAAGAAAGAAATGAAGAAATAAATAAAGAAAGAAAGTAACGAACGAAAATATAAAGGAAAGACGACAGAAAAGATCTAAAGAAAGAAAGAAAGAAAGAAAGAAAGAAAGTAACGAACGAAAATATAAAGGAAAGACGACAGAAAAGATCCAAAGAAAGAAAGAAAGAAAGAAAGCAAAAGAGAATGAAGGAAAGAAAGACATGAAGAAAGAAAGAAAGAAAGAAAGAAAGAAACGAACAAAAAATATAAAGGAAAGACGAAGGAAACGATGCAAAGAAAGAAAGAAAGAAAGAAAGAAAGAAAGAAAGAAAGAAACGAACAAACAAATAAACAAAATATAAAAGAATGATGAAGGAAAAGGTTCAAAGAAAGAAAGAAAGAAATAAAGAAACGAACAAAAATATAAAGGAAAGACGAAGGAAAAGATGCAAAGAAAGAAAGAATGAAAGAAAGAAAGAAACAAAATATAAAAGAATGATGAACGAAAAGGTTCAAAGAAAGAAAGAAAGAAAGAAAGAAAGAAACGAACAAACAAATAAACAAAATAGAAAAGAACGAACCAAGGAAAAGGTCCAAAGAAAGAAAGAAGGAAAGAAAGGAAGAAATGAACAAATAATATAAAGGAAAGACGAAAGAAAATATCCAAAGAAAGAAAGAAAGAAAGAAAGAAAGAAAGAAAGAAAGAAAGAAAGAAATAATATAAGAAAGAAAGAAGGAAAGAAAAAAGAAACAACAAAATAAACAAAATATAAAGGAAAGACAAAGGAAAAAGTCCAAAGAAAGAAAGAAAGAAAGAAAGAAATAAAGAAAGAAATGAAGAAATGAAGAAAGAAAGAAAGAAAGAAAGAAATGAAGAAATGAAGAAAGAAAGAAAGAAAGAAAGAAATGAAGAAAGAAAGAAAGAAAGAAAGAAAGAAATGAAGAAATGAAGAAAGAAAGAAAAAAAGAAAGAAACGAACAAAAATATAAAGGAAAGACGAAAGAAAAGATCCAAAGAAAGAAAGAAAGAGAGAAAGAAAGAAAGAAAGAAAGAAATGAAGAAAGAAAGAAAGAAAGAAAGAAAGAAAGTAACGAACGAAAATATAAAGGAAAGATGATAGAAAAGATCTAAAGAAAGAAAGAAAGCAAGAGAGAAAGAAAGAAAGAAAGAAATAAAGAAAGAAAGAAAGAAACGAACAAAAAATATAAAGGAAAGACGAAGGAAACGATGCAAAGAAAGAAAGAATGAAAGAAAGTAATAATTCGTTGTCCTCTTTACTGAGAGTAAAAACAAGAACAACATCTGTTCCATACCTGAAGATGTCTGTAGGAACAGACGAAAGCTTGTAGTAAAAATAAGAACTAATGCAGCAGAAATTTATAGAAACAAGGATCTTTTCATTCATAACAGGTTCGGGGGTTTTTGTATATTATTTGAATTGTTTACGACGATGGATTTCTCGCCAATTAAATCATTAAACCTTTGCATTTGTATTTGTATGAATAATTCATGAATATATATATATATATATGTATGTATATATATATATAATACCCCCTACTTTCTATTACACTCAGCGTTATGAGTTTTGACAGTCGTACGTTTGTTTATTTTGAAAAATAATAATGTAGCGTTCTTTGTGGGTGGTGATTTGCTAGAAATCGCCTGATGAAGCCGTGAGGTCGAAAGTAAGCTCGCATGTTCTACTTTTTAAAGTTAAAAGCTCTACATGTTATTTTTACCTTTATTTTATTTTATTTTCACACATGAATTGAGCACTTTTTATACTACAGTTTCCTGGTTTTATTCATTCAACTAACTTACCATTAACCTTATATATATATATATATATATATATATATATATATATATATATATATATATATATATATAGGTAAAGGATTTTTGAGATAACGACATATATATCAAGATTATATTGGGGTAAAATGTATAACAAAGTGGAAAAAAATTTTGCGACGTGTTTCCTTCTTTAAAATTTCAAAAGAATGAAACACATCATAAGAAAATTTGTGAACATTCTCATACATTTTTTTTTTACAAAGACGATATATAATTTTTTTTTTATATATCAATAACAATTTTAGGGAAAATAGCTATTTGAAAATCAAAGAAGATTTTGTGTGAGACGTTTCGTACTTTAGAACGTCATTAGACAAAACAAGTGATGTTTATATTGATGTGACTAATTGTTTAAGTAAATATTGGGGGCTGCAGATTCTTAATGCTCTCAGATTAAATCTCGAATTATTATAGGTTTCTATCTCAGAGCATTAAGAATATGCAGTCGTCAATATCTACTTAACGAAGAAACTTACATAGAAAACATATTCAAAAATCTATAATACCGTTATCATTTCATCCACAACGCAAGAAGAAAGGCATACAAAGTATACAACCGAAACAAAAATAATAACATAATCTGCAATAATAAATCACATGAAAACAGATGCAATATATATATATATATATATATATATATATATATATATATATTATTATTATATAAATTTATTCGAAATAAATAAATATTTATAAAATCACTACAAAAAACAGCCATTTGTTTCAACACTTCAAGTGTCTTATCAAGTGATGGTGTTGAATGTAGAATAAACAGTTTTCCTTTAATGGCATTTTGTAGTGATTTTACACATGTTTATGTTATAATTTTCGAATAAATAATTATATTTGCTCTAATTGAAATCCTCATAAAATAGTATTTTTTTGTTTATTGGAATTTATTCCGTATACACCAATCCTATACTTGTATATATATATATATATATATATATATATATATATATATATATAATGAATAAAATGACATAATATTGTCTTCTCTACCGATTAAATCGGAGAAATTTATATATATATATATATATATATATATATATATATATATATATATATTTTTTTTTTTTATATAGACAAAAACAATTTACTCACTACAAAGATGCAACTTCGTTTCAGTGCATTTAGTTGCACTTCGTCTGGTGAGAACCAAAATTGTTATGAATTATTCTGTTTGTAAGAAAGCCGCATGTGAAACATCACTTCTTTTTTTCCATTTGTTTAAAAAAACAAATAAAACAAAAAAAAAATAAAAAAATAAAAAATTCATAAAATATGATGGAGTGAAACAATAGTGGTTGTTGTTGTTGTTGATAACAGTTTGGTGAAGGATGCTTTAATGTCATGGCCAGATCTAAAAAAAATTGTTTTCGACAACACTGGTCAATGCTTTAGGCACAGCATTTCCAAGAGTTTTAAGAGTGAGGGATGGGAGACTAAAGGTGAGAATAGGAGATATTGACATAGTGAAAGAGGAAAGAGGGAAAAATTCAAACGATAGTTATAGTAGTAATTGAAAGTGATTTTTGGGTTATTTAAAAAAAAAAAAAACTAAGCCAGAACTGAATTGCATATTATTTAGGTTAGAATTTTCACTACTAATTTTTGTAATCAATGAAAGTGTTTTGTAAATTAATAAATTAAGAGGTGATGTTGTAAATTATTTTAAATTATTTTTGTCTATATGAAAAAATTATAATAAATAATTATTGCTCTACTATCGGTATTGAGCACTCTTTTGAATGCTGCGAACGTTAGAATTTACATATTAGTTTTGTTCTCATTGCATTCGGATTTATATATATATATATATATATATATATATATATATATACGCGACTACATATGCAGACAAAAGAGACGATACTGAAACATTAAAATTTAAATTATTTTTTTTTAATATATCTTGTGGTTATATGGCCACACCAACTTCATTTAGTTTGTTTTTTATTATATGCAAACACCCACACCACCACAGCCGCCATGTTAATTACAGAATTATAGAAAATATTCATACCCTCGTTACTACTTCTGGTTCTGCATTTGCAGTACAGTGGAACCTCAGTTCACGAATTTAATTCGTTCCTAAAGCCCGTTTGTAACCCGAGATGTTTGTGACCCGAAACTATTTTTCCAATAGGAATCAATGTAAAATGGATTAATCCTTTCCTTGTCCCAAGATGATTGCTTATTTAAACTTTTACACTTCGTGTACATGTTTATATACAAAACTAATGAAAATCATTTTATCGTACCTGTATGTAGAAGAGCTGATGGCGTAAGTAGAAGGAAAGAGATGTTATTGTTTGGAAAAGGGAAGGAAAGACATGATCGTCTCATTATTTATAAGAATAGTATAGATCGTTGCTTTTGCCATATAAAACTGAGTAGGAAGAGACAATATCATCAACCATTGTTTTTCTCTTAACTTTTTTTTTCTTTACCAGTATCACTGCTAGCTTACTTCATGACTGAGGACTAATGAAGAGAAAAAAAAAAAAAGGCACAGTACAATAAAATTGGAAAAGAAAAACACAGCAGAACACACGGATGTATACAACATGGCGGTTGACTCAGAAATGATTCCGTTCGGGTTAACTCGGTTTGGCTCGGCTCGGCAATGCTTTCGAGAACCGAAATTTTATTCGATAATAGAGGCATTTTCATCATCATTTTCTGTTCGAAAACCGATTTGTTCGACATGTGAGATGTTCGTGAACCGAGGTTTCTCTGTATACTTAATAAATACCACGAATTGTACGTAGTCTCTTAATATACACAAATGCGTTCGTACATTTCTCCTATTTATGATATATTAAAAAGAAAAGAAATTATTTTTTAGACTTACAACAGTCGAGAGAAAGACACGAAACGTATATAAAATATATTCCAAACAAATATTCTATAGACTACGAACAAATGTTTTTTTTTTTTTTTCAAGTATCGAACAAAGGAAAAACTATCTCTGCCAACAGACGGCTTTCTCTTTCCGCAAGTAGACTTCGTTAACAAAAGGTTCATTCCCTCATTGAAAGCACAGGTGAATGAACTGTTAGTCAGCTGCTTTCCAAGAAGCAATGTTTTCAAGATATGAGCAAACATAAGTGTTTGGATGTCTTGGCATTTGTGGCTTGAATACAGGCGAACAAATTTTTATTTTTATTTTTTTTTTTTCAATGGCTATACCAGATTTCAATTCTGGCTTCAAATTCAAATGTGAGGGACGTTTTTTTTTCGAATGTGAAAAAGACGAGCGTTTTTATATCTCTGTCGTATATCTTGATAAAAATAACATGTTACTCTTTATAATTTCTGATTATCTTTCTCTTTCCCTGCTCTTTTTGCCACCCACACATATATATATATATATATATATATATATATATATATATATATATATATATATATTAAAAAACATTTTATTTATTAAACATTTTATGTTTATTTATATAGATACAAGTATTTAAGCAAATGCTCTGTTTATGATAAAAAAAATAACGTTTACCGTTTAATGTCCGTAAATTTTCATAAAAATGAATGTCAAAAAAAGAATTTTTCTATAAAAAATAAATCTAAATAAAAATGTTATAATAAATAAATTGTCGGACCTTGTCCATTTCTTAATATATATATATATATATATATACACACACACACACACACATACATTACACAAATATATATATATATATATATATATATATATATATATATATATATAAACAGACCATTTAAGGTTCCATATAATAAATTATTTCAACACAGCCCTTTTAAAAATATTTCAGATCATCAGACTTTTTTCTTCCAAACAAAAATGAAGAAAAAATTTACACATTTCTGACGGGCCGTATTAAACATATGTAAATTAACGAAGTGAAGAAGTGAGTGGGGAGAGAGAAGACATGCCATGAGTGAGTTAGCAGATATTGACATCATTAAAACGGTTAACTTAACGGATATATATATTGATATCGAAGGGGTAGAAATAGAAAAAGCCATAGAGAAAAAGAGGAAGGAAGTTATGAGAAGATGTCACTAATTTTCTTTGTAAAAAAAAAAAGGCTAGAAACAGACGCAGTTATTTTGTTTTACTTTGAAAGTGTTATTTTGGGGGTTCATAAAAAATTATAATGTTTGATATAAATTTGAATGTCTTTAGACTGTCTACAAATAATTTAATTTCATGTAATATATAGTGATTTAATTTTCTTTTTTTAAATTTTGGAGATTTTCTATGGAATAGTCGATTAGAAAAATAATCATAGAAAGTACATTAAAAGAATAAAATTTTATTTTAAAATATAAGTTTACTTCTAGTAATCATTTTTTTATAATCGCTTTAAAATATTTCATTATTGATTATTAAGTTGACATCTCTATCCGTTTGAATTTTGTTCATGAATTTAACTCGTGACTGTTTCTAGATAGGTAATCTGGATTTTATCCTCCTTTCCCTTTTTACCCATACGGATTACCTAGTTTTTCATAAACTAACTAACTAACTATATATATATATATATATATATATATATATATATATATATATATATATATATATATATATATATTATTTAGGAAAAGATTTCAGTATATATGAATAAATTCAATTACCAAAAAATACTATTCTTAAAAGATTGCTCAATACATGAGTAGAGCAAATATAATTATTATTTATTCGAAAATAAAAAGCCAAAAAGAGAGAAGGAAGTAACATAAATATGTTATAAAATCACTACAAAAATAGCCATTTTGTTTCAACACATCTGGTGTCTTATTAATTGATGGTGTTGAATGTAGAATAAAATAAGTTTTAAAAGTTTAAATTTTTTTTTAATTTTTCTCGCTAGTCGAAATGCTGTTACATAAAAAAAATAAATGACCAATCAAAATACAAGTATAGGAGAATTCTTTAAAAACTTGACAACGATTATATTTATTCTTTTAAGAATAGTATTCGTTGGTTATTGGAATTTATTCCGTATACACCAATCATATACTTATATATATATATATATATATATATATATATATATATATATATATTCGAAAATTCTTAACATAAATATGTTATAAAAAAATCACTACAAAATAGCCATTTTGTTTCAACACTTCTGGTGTCTTATTAATTGATGGTGTTGAATGCAGAATAAAGGGTTTTAAAAGGTTCAAATCGACCAAACACCCCTTGATAAGAAAAACGCTGTTACATAAGCTGCAATGACCAATCAAAATACAAGTATAGGAGAATTCAAAAACTTGACAACGAACCTTGACAATAATTTTTTAATGCCTTAATGTTGGATAAGACTAAAATTCCGTATTCATTCTAACATATTATTAAATTATACTATAAAATATATATATATATATATATATATATATATTATAAATAAAAAAAATATGTTATTCACTAACGAGTTTTTGTTTCAACATTTGTAATTATTAATTAATGGTGTTGAATAGAATTTTATTTATTTCAAATAAATAGGAGAAAGGATAAGAATATTTTCAAAATATGGTATTCAAAAAAAATGAAACGAACCTTGGTTATAATAATTATTTAAATTAATAAAAATTATAGGACTAAGACTAAAATAAAATTCATTCTAACAATTTTTATATTATAATATTATATATATATATATATATATATATATATATATATATACGCTTCAAGAAAACGGCTCTTATAATGAATAAAATATACATTTTTGTGTAATATCTTCAAGTGATTTGAATTTTTCATTGCATTGGGTGCTGTGGGGTCTTTTGTATTATCCAATGTTTATCTTGTGTTGATAACTGCATTTTGGCTGTTCGTGATGTGTTCATTGATATGTGCACAAATTGCACTGATATTCGAGAGGCGACAGGTCAACCTATGAGTAATTGTGGTGCATGTGTTTCCCGATGTACCAATTTAATGCTGCTTTTTATTGTTAATATTGGAAATGTAATTCTCCAGGAGGCATGACAATTCGTAAATATATATATATATATATATAGGATTATCGAGGTCCGGTGTAGTCGGTAATGATCAGATTAGACATTTTTTCATATTAGATGATCAATCTTAGGTATTCGTTAGGATCGATAGGTGAGATGTATAATAATAATATTTTAATTGCTTCTTCGTCATATTTATACACAGGGATTATCTGGTTACGATAGAATAATTTAATGGTGGACTTTATTTTGCGTGCATCAGTGTTACTGATATATATATATATATATATATATATATATATATATATATATATATTTATGTTTATACGTTCTTTTTATAGATACAAATATTTAAGTAAATGCTCTGTTTATAATAAACAGTATTAATGATATTTACTGGCCTGAATTTCCGAAAAATTTTCATAGAAAATATGCGTCCTCCGACCGGAATCGAACCTGTATCCTATACGGAACCGTCATAGAGCCTGACGTGTCTTAACTGATTGGGCCACTGAGGAGCGTTCGGTTAGTAAGGTAGATTTTACTGTTTTTAGACTACAATTCTCCATGTGGACGCATATCTTCTATGAAAATTTATCGGATATTCAGGCCGGTAAATATCGTTAATACTGTTTATTATAAACAGAGTATTTACTTTAATATTTGTTTCTATAAAAAAAGAACGTATAAACATAAAAAAAATATCTGAAAATAATTGTCGGACTTTGTCCATTTCATAAAATATATATATATATATATATATATATATATATATATATATATATATATATATATATATATATATATATATATATATATATATATATATATATATATATAGTAGTAGAGCCCGGCATTGCCTGGGATGTAACAATAAGAGATAGATCAGGTATCGACCATCATAAAGACTGAAAAATAAAATTGACAAAGATTATTGTTTAAGGTTGACGAAGACACGCATGTCTTCATTAGTCTTTCTTTTTTTTTTACGAATTGGTCAAACCCAAACTCAAACAAAAACATTGTTTTCAATCGTTATGAGTACTCCGATTGAATAGAATTTTATTATAAACAATTGTCTTGTAAATGAAATTTTAAAAGCATTCTGAATGTAAAAATAAAAAAAAAAAGTGTGCAAGACAATAAGAAACACTACCTGCCAAAAAAAAAAAAAAGTGATGTTTTGTTGAAATCGGTTGAAAATGTAGGGAATCCGATCCCATATATAAACGAACACACACACACACACACACACACACACACACACACACACAAACAACCTGGGTTTTATAATAAGTATAACTCCATATGAGTTGCCCCCCTTTCATTCTGGCGATGCCTCTTTCGTGTTTTCAAATTGATTTCGTGCAAAAATAATTGTGTTTTTCCAATTTTTGGCACTGTCAGAACCACCGCAAGGTAATTTTACGTAGTCCTGTGAAGTTTTGTTGAAATCGGTTGAAAAATGTAGGAAATCCGATCCAATATATAAACGAACAGACACACACATACAACCTGGGTTTTATAATAAGTATGATATATATATATATATATATATATATATATATATATATATATGTAGAGAACAGTATTGTAGAAATTGTGTGACAAAGTGGAAATAGTTTACTAGCGATGTGTTTCTTTCTTCAGGGTTTCATCAGACTAAATCTTTTCTATGTTGGTAGGACTACACATGCGTGCGACAGTGAGGTGCTGGGAATTTTAGAATTTTTTTTTATCTCACCGAATTCATAGAAAGAAAAAAGAAATTACTCTAATTGAATTTAGCTAAATCTAAAATATTCCCAGCACCCCTTTGCCGGGCGCATGTGTAGTCGGACCAATATAACAAATTTTAATCGGATGAAGTCCTGAAGTAATTTTCCACTTTGTCATACAATATATATATATATATATATATATATATATATATATATATATACAGGGTGTTTCAAAAAATTTGATATCCTTTGAGATGTAAATATCACAGAAAGTACATGATTAAGGCAAATGAAATTAAAAAGTATTAATGTTGAAGATCATAAGATTTATTCTTCCAAATCTGAATGAGAAATTCAAAAGCATGTGGATTATGTGAACGATTTCAAAATGTTCAATATGCGAACTTCTAGTAAACGGCATTTTTATACCTGTAA